ACTCACTTTCTCAAACTTGGCGACTTTAAGATGTGTGGACTTCAACTCCTAGAATTCCCCACCCATCCATGTTGGCCGGGGAATTTTGGGAGTTGAAGTCCGCACGTTTTAAATTTGCCAAGTTCGAGAAACACTGGTAGCTTTTTCAGGCCTTCCAAAGTTTTTAGTCGGTAAGAACAGAAATGGGAGAGTTTGTGCGGCCCTCCATTGCTTCGGAACTACGACTCCCAACCCTTTTCGCCTATTGGCAGAATATGCTGAAGGTTTAACCCCAACCCCGATCTGGAAAAGACTGGGACGTTTTCACTAAGGCTGCAAAAATTAGGACGGCTGCTGGATCTTTAAAGTTATCATCTTATAGTTGCTAGGATTTTTGCAGCCCACATCTGGTAGTCCTAATTTTCATAAATAATGTCGAAGCTCAATATAACTGGCATTGTTGGGATACTTGTGTTTTGCTCAGAATTTATTTACTTAAAATAATGAGTCGGGTCAATAGGCATCTTGACTCTGGGCTTTTATCATGTATCATTGCTTTGATGCTATCATGTGGTGCACAAGTTTTTCAGAGCCCATCTGTGGTATCCTATGTTACAACAATACTTTAAAATACTATAAAGCTTTTTAAAGTGAAGCCATCGTATAATCTGCATGGTAAAAACAAATATAACCAACAAAAGTGTAGCATAATATATTGCTGGTTAGAGCTTAGGTATGTAGATTCTGTGAAGGTTTAATCAAGGATTCTGTCATCCAAATGGATTAATTTATAGTCTAGATAACAATAAATGGACTGATTAATGAATTAATACAGGGAACAAATTGATGAATTTCTAGGCTACATGAACCTCAGCAGGTATTAGTATCTAGGTAAAATTTGCTGTTCTTTGAAACTAAGCAGTGACCCTGTTTCCTCTTGACAATTCCAGAGCCGTTGTCCAGATTAGGGGGTTAAAAACAAAACTGGAAGAAGGTATTGGCTAACCACTTCACCACTTCCATACTATTCCAAGCAAACTGCATGGATGCAGTCACTCATCTTTGTCTTTTTTATGAGGTGAATTTGATGTGTGAAAAGAATAATTCAACTGTCAATTGTTAAATGTCGTTGAAATGCAAGAAAACTAAGCTCAGAGGCTGCCGAGGTTAGTGAAGGATGCTATTTTTTCATAGTTCAGATGAGTTCAAAATAAAAGCAAAGCAGATGGTATATCAGCTTCTCAATGAAGATGGAAAAATGATAAAGACTTCTATTCTGGTTCATAGTTTTGACACATGCAAAGACCTAGCTCTCTGGAAAAAGCTCTAATGCTGGGAAAGATGGGGAGAAAGAGAAAAAAAAGATGATGAGCAACAAGGTAGATAGGCTCAGTTACAGTGGTGATGGGTGTGCTGTTCGAAGAGCTGAAAGACCAGGTTAGGGAATAGATCATCATGGAGAAAATCTGTCCATGTGATCCTAAGAATCAACAACAGATAGCATGCAGTCAATCAATCAGTTTGTCCGAGAAGGGGATATACATTCTATTGAGCAATTATGAAGAAGAGGTTCAAAGAGCAGGATTTCAGCTCAAGCTTGTTGGAAACATAGTTGGGGAATATCTACTGATTCTAATGAGTTCTAATCTCCAGGTCCAAATCGATTGCATCCTAAGGTACTGAAGAAATTTGCCAATAGTCTGATGAATCCATCTTTTTTGAGAAATTCTGGACAATGGATAAAATACCAGATGACTAGAGGTGGACTCATGTTCCTAGCTTCAAAAAGCAGGAAAAGTAGGACTCAAAGAACTATAGACTGGTTAGTTTGACATTGTTACCTGGGACATTCTAAGATGGATCACAAATATATCGATCTATACAGATGTTGAAAGTAATGCAGGGATTATTATAATATGGATTTGTAAAAATTTACCTCTTGGTTTATCAGAAAACTTCCTTAGTAAATTGCACAAGCTGTGGACATAGAATCTCTTAAAAAAAAAAATTGTAATAGCCCATTACAAGCTATTAAGTATGGGCTGGATGATATATCTATTTGGTGGATCCTTAGCAGACTTGAAAATTACACTCAAAAAGTACTCAGCAACAATTCATAAAATTGAAGTGAGGTATTAAGTGGAGAGTTCTATGTGTGGTCCTTGGTTCAACATCTTCATTAATTATTTTGGATGAATAATTAGAGGGAGTGATTCTCAAATTTGAAAATAAAAGGGTGGGTAGGATAGCTAATCTTCTGTAAAATAGAAACAAAATTGAGAAATTATCTATACAGACAGCAGGATACAAACTTCTTCACTGGGGAAGAATTAAGGACAAGCACACAGATTAAGCAGATTAAGATTAATCTGTGTGAAAAGTATCTTGAAATTGTAGTTGATTATCATATCTGCTAAAAAGACAAATGTAAATTTAGGCAATATTAAAAAAATGTTTTCAAATCACAAAAAATAGTTTTACTCTAATCAGCTAGGTTACATCCTACTTTGAATATTGTGTCCAGTTCTGGGCAGCAGAGTTTAAAAATGATTTTAAACACCTGGAACATGTTTCAGATCTGTAGACTAGAAACTATGAAGAAAGTTTTAAAAAATTGGGAGTTTGAGAAAATAAGGGGTGAGGGATAGAGAATGAGGGATGGGGGGGGGCAGAATATGTTAGTACTAGTAGTTTCAGGAATGCATATTCCAGTGGAATCTTAGATAAAACTCCCTAGCAGTAGGAGCAGTTTGGCAGGTGACCTAGTTACCAAGGGAGATAATGAAAAAAGCTTCCCTGGATATGGTCAGGCAGATGCTGGACAGACTTTGATCAAGGTTTCTGCACTGAGCTGAGCATTAAATCTATGAATATCTTGAGTTATTTAAAATATCAATTATAAAACTGTTATAGGCGGGGGTGGGAGTGGACAGGTGTATCAACATGACCCCATGCAATCTTTTCCTGAAAA